CTGCCATGTGCTTATATAAAAAATTATATATGTTTTTATTATTTAGATTTTAGCAATTCATTTTGATTTTTTTTAACTTATTTTATTTTATTTTTTAATGGTATAACATTTATCACACATACCTGTTCGAAATTTTTCGCCACAATAACGGTATACACCGAACAGGTGCCGAAGTAGGTCAAAAACAGTCCGAATAGTATGGAAAATTTGGCAACTGGCGCAAAACCACGTGCCCATTTTGGCCCATTCAAAAATGCGACTTCAGCAACTTCGGCGAAGCTCATCTCCGTGCGTCGCGACTTGTAGTAGAGTTTGTGGGCGCATTTCACCTGTAAATAACACAAAAAAACGTTGACGATGTAGTTGCGTGCTTACAAGGGCATTTGTACCCAATTTGTAAATACAGAAACACACTCAGACATACTATATACATACATGCATATATGGTGGCTACATATTTGCAATTTCTTTCAATTTCTTTGCCACTTCGCGTTTAATGCACACGTGTACATATGTTTCTACGCGCATTAACATTGCATGCCTGCATACATGTATGTGTATATCTGTGTGTTACGGTATAAATTTGCGGTACTCACCAGCACATAACTGCAGTGTGTACAGATGAAAGCTGTGAAGATGGTGGCGAAGATGCCAAGCACAATGCCAGAGTACATGAAGGCGATCGGCATGGAGAGAATGCCAGTGCCCAGTGAGGCCTTCAGCAAATGCGTGAGTGTCTCATTATCACTAGAATCGTACAAGAAATTAAAATATAATTATTTTGTTTAACTTGAGCGCCGCTTATGGTACTCACGTGGTTGGATGTGCCACTTTGCGTTCGGCGAACGGATCGAAATCGGGTGACGCCAGCGCCTGTTCGACATCTTTCCGTGGCTGGATTTTATATCTGGAAAACAAAAAATTAAAGATTTATTAAAATATTCGAACCAAGATGAATATAGAATTCAAAATAATAATACATTTTGGAGAACAAAATACAAAAAAAAAACTTAAAACCTTAATTAACAATAAATAAAATTAATTTTAATAAGTTAATAAATAAAATTTTTTTAATAAATTAATCTCCTAATTTGAGTTTCATATTATGTATTTTTATATGTTACTTCAATTAAAGAAAATTGGATACAATTTTAATATAAAAAGCTAATAAATTTTATTAAAAACATTACTTTAAAGGCAAAAATAGTTTTAATTAATATATTCAAATTATAACAGAATTAAAGAAAACTAGTTAAATTTTAACGAATATAATAATGAATATTTACGTAAATTTAACTAAATTTTGTAATTAACTTATTTTTGTTTATT